GGCAAAAACAACCCTGTAAATCCTAGTCAAATTGACTAGGATTTTAGTAATTTTGCCTATTTCCATAATGCGCACGCGTCTGCTTCTGTTCTGACAGTGTTTACCTCTATATCTTTCGCGTCATTCATCGTGATTTCGTAAAACGATTTTTTATCATTACTCGCGTCTATTTTTTGTACATAAAATAGAGTTCTTACATACATCAAAATTGCTGGTTTCTCGGAACCCCTGGAAATATATATAGTCCATGTTTTAGAAAGTAAACTATTTAATTATATTAGTCAATTCTTTCAGACTTTTTTGGTTAGGTTTCAATATAAATCGTCGAAATTTTTACGCACGTGGTGACAACATTTTTACTATTTTAATCGCGCAGTATGTTTGAAAATTTACCTTTGCAATAATTTGTGTATTTAAATTTATTTTCATTTAAATGGCATGAATAATTAAAAATAAATAGTTTTGGCAAGGGTATAAAATTGTGTACTTGAAATGTATAAAACATCATCTGATTAAGTATTGTATTTTGACTGGAAAATCTAGTGTCTATTAAAAAATTAAAATACCAAGTCGTGTTTAGTGTAGTGGTTATCGTTCCGGGTTTCAAAGTGCGTATTCGTTAGGTTCAGGTGTTCGCGTCCCCCCTGCGTCAAATATTTATTTCATAAGTTTAAATTAATTCCAAGGAATATAAATACAAAGTCAAATATAAATATGTTCAAATATAATAATTAATTTTTTTCTTTTTTCTTTTAATTAGTTTTTCTCTTTTATTTGATAATAAGAATTTGATTAGCAATTTCAAATAATTATGATACACAGTGTAAATCTAATATTATTCTCCTAGTCAATTTGACTATTTTGTCCTGATTACATCGACTAATTTTCCTGGTCACTTTAACTATGCTTGAATCTTATTACTTTGACCAGGATTCTATAGTTGGCTCCTCTCGTAACTAGGAAACCTAGTCAATTCCTGGTATACGGGTCCTAGGCATTTTTTTCGGTGTACAGGCAAACCTCGCTACGGCGGACTTCTATACGGCGGAAACTCGCCAGGTAGAAGTAGAAGGGATTATATCAGTGAGAGTTGTGACTGTGTGAGTGCCATGAAATTCATGGCCGAAAAGTTTCGAATTGTAATTTTTATATGGATGTTTTTTTATTTAAATTATTTAATTTATATTTGATTTATAAATAATTATATTTAAAATTCATCGCAAAAATTAAATTATTTTTTATAAATAATAAAATTCTCCTGAGGAATTCAATTATTTTCAATACAATTTTAATAAACTTTAAAAATCAAAATAATATTTAAAATTACCTATTAACAGATACGATTATTTTAAAAAGTTGAAAAAATTCTTTGTATAATTCAATTACTTTCAAAATTTTCAATTATAACTATTAAAGAAACTCCATTATTTTAAAAAAGTTCAAAGATATTCTTCAAAAGAATTTAATTAACATTTTTATAAATTTTAATTAAATTTTTCGCGAGAATTCGATTACTTTCATAAATAATAAAATTCTGCGAAGGAATTCAATATTATTCTCAAATTTTTTGACAAAATTCTTTGCAAGAATTCAATCATTTTTAATACATATTTTTAAATAAGGTTATTAATAAATTATCATAACTTCTATTTCATATTTAAAGATCCTATGATTAAAAATGGTTGATACATCCCTGAACGTTCACTCACTAAAAGCATTTTAACGAACCTCTCTACGGCGGAATCGTCTAATTGCTTTCCGCCGTAGCGAGGTTTGCCTGTATTTAAAATTTTAAAGCTTGCTGATTTAACAAGTTTTTCGACTTTTGTATTCAGAATTTTGAGCTTATCAAGAAATAAATATATTAGCATAAAAGAATACAAATCGAGTTAAAAAAATTTATTGTTTTAATTAATAATTTTATTTTTTTGCGTTGACGCGTCAAGTTTTGAGATAAGATACAAATTATAGGGGGACATAGTCGAGGTCGGCCACCTTTTTGACTTTTGTGTATAACTTTTTTTTAAAAATGAATTTGGACAATTGAAGTATATGGTTGGAAAGTCCTGTTTAATAGGAACATCTTTTCTGCACAAAGTAAATTGATTGGTTTTTAAATGAAAAAGTTATAAAGATTTAAAAAAAAAATTGTAGTCCAGGTTTGGTCCTTACAGTCAAGGTCGGCCATGTTTAAAATTCAAAGGGCATTAATCGTTAAAAAATAAAATAACATGTTTGGAGTTACGGAAAATTGATTTTTTATTGTTTACAGTTTTTAACTTAATGAAATAACAAAATAATAAAAATAAACAATATAAAAAAATAAATATAAATAAAAAAAAATTTTGCGCTGAAATATTAATAAAATTAAATGAAAATATTAATAAGATGATCAATTATATTATGAGTTATACAGAATTGCAGTTTTTGCAAATAAAGTAGCTCGTCCTCATCTTTGCGCATTTTAAACACAAAGTGGCCGACCTTGACAGAAAGTAACATTATCGAATTGTTGTAAACAAAAAGAAATAGGTTTCGGGATTCGATTTTTCACTTTGATTTTCTTTCAACAATGAGTCCCACAAAATTTCTGCATGCTTGCCTTGACGATTCAATTTTTTTTTTTTTTTATTAATGATTTTTCACATGATGCACAAAACTTTTTTTGACCTTTTTTGTACCGACGTCACAGAAAACACAGTTTTCGATTCTCCGAAAATGTAACTGAACAAAAAGTTAGGTTTTACTAAGACAAGCTTCGACAAGCATGCGAGTAAGGTGGCGCTAGTAAACTTGACAAAAAACGCAAATGGCCTACCTAGACAGTGGTCCAACCTCGACTATACTCCCCTACACATTCGTAAAATAGAAATTTAGTAAATTAAAGAAAACTTCACAGAGCTACGCCGATATGAAACAATACGAAAATTGATCATTGTGATACGTTGTAAATTTTCTGCAAATGTGCTCTGTTAAAAATATTCGTAATTTTAATAAACACAAAGCACTACAGTTTAATAACTCATATTGTATATTAACTGGAAATTCTTCTTTTTTATATAACAATAAATATATTGTATAGAGTGATCATCTTTTCATAACCATAAGATCTCAGTGTGCTGCCGTCCAGAGGAAAAAGATACATAAGCGACATTTTTGAAAAAATTGAGTTTTTGTTATCATTGTATTCATAAATAAAGCTCCATTTAACTGTGTAAAAAAGAATTAAAAAATTTAATTATTTATTGCAAAAAAAGATTGTTTAAAAATGACAAAAATGGAAAAAGTGACGAAATACAGAGTTAAAAGATAAATAAAACACTTTGTGGGTTCATATTTCGGTAAACGACGCTGCATACGTCACCAACTTACATGTTTAATTGTGATAAAGCAATTATTTGAATTTAAGTGTTTTCCCACCAATTTCATTTCCAATTGTCTGCGCAGCGTCTTGGGACCGTAGCGCCACCTTTTTTTTACTGAGATGTGTGTGTGGACGAAAAGGTTATAATTGAAAAGATCTCGCAAAGAGAACACGTTTTGTGACATAAAATGTAATATTAATAATTTTGTATTAAATGTTTTTAAAATTAAAGAAAGTTTTGAGTATAAATGAAAAGAAAATAAAATTCTATCTCCTTTTACCGCAAAAGTAAACATGGTCCTTCGAGCCGGATAAAAAAGGAGATAAATGTTTTTTTTCATTGAGTACTTTGTTCGTAAAGTGACGCCATGTGAACGCTTTGCAGAAAATCGTTGACTTTTGCTAACTGACCGCATATCTACCAAGTTATTTCGCATATAATATCACTACAACAATCAATGTTGTCAAATTATTAGTGTAATACACAAGAAAAAACTGTGCTTTTCCCGCTGTACTAAGTGTCTTTTATTCGCAAAACAACGCAAGTTTATATCATGTCGCAAGTAAATTATGTGCTCCTTCAAAGTGAACAAGAAACGCTGTTCTCTTCTATTAGGGGAGAGGGCCCCAAGGTGGTCAGGGCCCTAAGGTGGTCACCCTAAGAAAATTTTTGTATATTAGTTAGTATCTTCAAATGTTTTTTGTTATTGTTATTATTTGAGAAGACAAAGATTTTAGTAAAGTTTTGAGGTAAATAGTCGTATGAGTCTCTTTGTAACGTGAACTTCGTAAAATTTCTGTTTTTAAATGATCGAGAAATTTTTTTCTCAGGGTGTTAAAACCATCGAAATTAACCATTTTAAATTAGTAAAAATCGTTATAATTATCTTTATATATCGTACAATAATATTCCAAATGAATATAATTAATATTGTGCTTTAAAAAATTTTTTCATTAACGTTTAAAAAATTCTTTCTTGGCCCTAAGGTGGACACTTTTTTGGCCACAAGGTGGTCACTTTTGATTTTTTATGAAAATATGTTTATACGCCATATTTATCAACATTTATCACTGTGAATGTGAATTTTATCAATTTTTAAGTTTTATGATGAATAATAATAAAATAGAATTATTTTCAAAATTTTACCTATCTAATACATACACAAAAAGTATCATTTTTGACGAAAGGACAAAGTGCAAAAAAAATATGTAATATGTTTCTGTGATCCTGAAAAACAATTAATATTAAATAAACAACTTAGTAATACGTTTTTTACATTTTTTTAAAACTTTTTTAGTGAATTTTTATTACCTTGGGGCCACTTTTTTAAAAGTCGAATTTTCAACTTTTTTTAAAAAGTGCCATAACTTTTTTTTTATTAATGAAATAAAAAAAAACTTTATGATAGGAAGTTAGGTAATAAGATAAAGTTTCAAACGCCGTATTATTGACCTTTATATATAATTCCATTTGAAATCTACAGTCGTTCAAAAGATGGGTGACCACCTTAGGGCCCTCTCCCCTACAAAAATCTCCAATCGAATACTCACTGCAGAAAATCCTACTCGTCAATATTTAGTTGGACGATTATCTAATCTCCAGGATTTTTGGGAAAGATGTCGAAGAAACCACGCCATGCTAATTGCAAAACCGCCTACGATTCCAAAGGAAAAAATCAAAGAAACGACCAAAGAATATGATCCAGAGGAATTTTCACAACTCGAAGAAATCTACGAGGATGCCATAGATTCTATATTGTCTCGACTTCCAGAACCAGTTCCAAATCAACCAAATCCAAACGGGGAGGATATCGTATCATCATCGCCTAACTCTGCCAGCCGATCAACATCTGCCGTTCAACTTCCTCGCATTACATTACCAACGTTTTCAGGTAACTATAGTGAATGGTTAGCTTTTCGTGATTTATTTTATTCATTAGTTATAGAAAATAATTCGATTTCGGATGTAGAACGTTTGCATTATTTAAAACTTAGTCTTCGAGATGAAGCATTGATTTTTGCTCAAAACCAACCCGGCACGTCAGCTAATTTTCAAATTATTTGGAAAAATCTCGAATCACGTTACAATAATTGTAAAGCCTTGATTAATGAATATTTAAAAAAGATAGTTGAAATTCCAGACATAACATCAGACTGGTTAAATAGTTTAAAAAACATGCGCAACGTAATTATCACTGTCACCACAGCCTTAACTAATCTTAAACGACCGATTGATGAGAAGAATGATCTGTCTGTTTTTTTGCTAATTAATAAACTCGATAAATTTTCACGCGATCAATGGGAATTAGTCTCAAGTGATTCAACGGATCCTCCTTCTCTCGATCAATTCATTAAATTTTTGGACGCTCGTATTCGCGCTCTTGAAGCTTCAGTTAACCCTAAAAAACGTACTGAAAATAAAATAACCAATGTACCTCAATCAACAGTTTCATCTTGTGCGAAAATTCATTCTCATCAAAGTCTGTCAAAGTTGGTTTGCTGTTTATGCAAAGGAGAACATAATTTATATGCTTGCCCGCAATTTAAAAGTAAGTTTATTTGAAAGCAAAAATGTCTGTTTCACGTGTAAAAAGCCTCACCATTCCTTTTTGCATCGAGAGCAAACCAGTTTGACAGCCGACATCGATTCAAAAAATATGGAAGCCAATAAAAGGTCTGTTAATAACACAACTCTAAACAAGTCTGAGACCGAAACATCTATTTTGTCTCATTTTAACGCATCTAATGAAAACCGAACTGCTGTGTTATTGGCTACAGCTCGTGTCATCGTTGAAGCGTCTGATGGTCGCCGAGTTCAAATACGCGCTTTGCTTGATCAGGGCTCCGATGCCACTTTTATATCAGATTCAGTTTGTCAATTATTACGACTCCCTCGCAAAAATTCTAATATAGCTGTTTCAGGTTTAGGAGGTAATTGTTCAAATAAAGTCTCTCATTCAGTCCCAATTATTATTAAAGGCGTCAATTCCAATACTGATTCATTTATGACTAGGGCATTTGTTTTGCCAAAAATTACTTCTTATGTTCCGACTGAGTTTGTCCTATCAAACATTCCTGATAATTTACGTGACTTAGAACTTGCCGATCCTTGTCTATGGTCCACGGAACGTATTGATCTGTTAATTGGATCTGATTTATACAGTCGAGTGTTACTGGACGGAATTTGCACAGCTTCATCAGGATATCTTGTTGCACAATCCACATCGTTAGGTTGGATCCTTTCCGGACCAATATCGAATCCCTCCGCTCAAGCCTTTCATATCAATGTTCATCTTTGTGTTGATGATCATATTGAAAAATCGTTAAATCGGTTTTGGGAATTGGAAGAAGTTCCATCAATAAATAAATTGACAGAATCGGAGCAAAAATGTGAAGATTATTTTTTAAAAACATTTTCGAGATTACCAGATGGTCACTATATGGTCGATCTTCTTTTTATTAAATCTCCTTCTCAGCTAGGTGATTCTTATCACACTGCCCTGAATTCGTTAAAAAGATTAGAGAAAAAATTTTCTAGTGATCCTCAACTCGCTTCTCAGTACAAAGAATTTATGGCTAAATATGAATCGTTAGGTCACATGACTTGTATGGGTCCAGTAAATGATAGTAATTCGGAAAACGTATTTATACCTCACCACCCTGTCTGTCGTGATTCCAGTCAAACTACCAAGGAAAGGGGAGTTTTCAATGCATCGAGTTTTACATCTACGCAAGTTTCTTTAAATGATTGTCTACATGCTGGACCTAAACTCCAAAATTCGATTACAACTATTCTTTTGAATTGGCGACAACACAAATTTGTTTTATGTGCCGATATGGCAAACATGTTTCGAGAAATATTAATCTCACCTGAATACAGAAAATATCAATACATTCTTTGGCGAGAGTCAATCCACATTCCTATTCAAGCATATGCTCTGAATACCGTCACATATGGGATGAAAAGTTATCTCTACTTAGCTATCCGTGTACTTCGCCAATTGGTTCATGATGAACAGTCACGATTTCCTAACGCAGCTCCCGTTCTTTTGAATGATACCTATGTAGACGACGTTTATCTTGGAGGGCCAGATAAATCTTCTACTCTCCAGTTAAGAGATGAAATCATTCAATTAACACGCTCAGGTGGATTTACAGGGTGTCTACTGAAAATATGACTTCAACTTCCAGGACATTTTCAGGACATTCCAGGAAAAATTTCTTATTTTTCCAGGACATTTATATTATGTGTAACAGGGTTGCCACAAGTCAGGGAAGTCAAGGAATTCAGGGAAAAGTCAGGGATTTTTACTAAAAGTACTGGAAAAAATTGAATTTTTAGAATTTATAGGAAAATTCTGAATTTTTGTCTTTTTTTTTTGTTTGCCTTATAAACTATGAAATTATCAAGAATTCTAATACAAACCCTTCAATTTTTTCTATTTTTGACAATAATTTATTTTTAAATAACTTCGCATAAATTCAATTATATTCAAAAAATTTTTAAATTCTCGACAAAATTTCAATTATCTATATAAATAATAAAATTCTTCTCCAAAATTCAATTATTTTCAAAAAATTTAATAAAATTCTTGGCAAAATTTCAATTATTTTCAAAAAATTTCCTCATTTCAATTATTTTCGATATCTACTATTTTAATAAAATTTTCCAAAAGAATTCTATTATTTAAACAAAATTTTAATAAAAAATTTAACAGGAATTCAATTACTTACCAATTTCTTCGCATCAATTCAATTATTTAAAATTTTTTAATGAAGTTTCTCGAAAGAATTCAAATATATAAAGAAAATTTTAAAAAATAGTCTGAAAAATTCAATTTTTCCAAAAATTTAAAATAAAATTCTTTGCAAGATTTAGTTCATTAAATTGCAATTTTAATAAAATTTTCCTATACAATTAAATTGTTTTTAATACAAATAATACATTTTTTATGAGAATTCAATAATTTAATAGAATTTGAATAAAATTCTTCGCTAGAAATCAATTATTTTCTTTCTTGAGAATTCAATTATTTTTAAAAATTTATTTTTAAAAATTTTGATAAATTTTTGAAAAAAATAAAATTCTTTTAAGCAATTCAATTATTTAAGAAATTTTAATAAAATTCTTCCCAAGAATTTAATTTTTTTTTCAAAAATAAACATTTTCACAGGAATTCAATTATTTAAAAAAATTTTTTTTCAAATTCTTTGTCAGATTTAAATTATTTTCAATTTTTTAATGAAATTTCTAGATGAAATTTAATTATTTTTAAAAAGTTTTAAAAATTCTGAAAAATTTAATTATTTAAAAAAATTTGAATAAAATTCTTCACAGAAATTAATTATTTTCATAAATAATAATATTTTTCTCTGGAATTCAATTCTTTAAAAAGATTTTTAATAAAATTCGTTGCAAGAATTCAATTATTTTCATAAATAACAAGAGTTATCGCAGAATTTCAATTATTTTTATAAAATTTTAAATAAAATGATAGAAAATTGCATTTATTCTTACAATTTTTTTTCTAAATTCGCCGAAAGAATTCAATTATTACTAAAAATTTTGATAAATCTTCATAAAAATTCAATTTTAAAAAATATGCAATTACTAAATAAATTAGACTTCCGTTTCCGGTACCGTTGAGTTGTGCACGCGTTTGTAAAGGGTTAAGAGTTTTTGGCAAAATTTTGAGTATTTTATTGAAGGGTGGGTAGTGTAGTGTTTGAAATAACAAAGGAAAGAGTGGTGGTGAAAGTAAAAAGAGTGTATGTGTGCGAGTGGTTAAGTGTGAGTGATAAAAAAGGTAAAAATAGAGAAGTGAATGTTGTGAGGTTAGGTTGCTTGAAGTGAGAGAAAAGAGAGAGAGAGACATTGGGAAATATTGAATGATAAGGTAGATTTCTGGAATAGCTGAATTTGATTTAAGTAGTGTGCGAGAGACTGAGAAAAAGGCGCCAATATTTAAAAGAGGGTTTGGGAAGAATGGAAAGGTGATGACGTGTGCAGACTGTATGGACTTGATGGAGTTAGTGGAAATGTTGAATGAGGCAATGGAAGAGCGTTTTGTGAGAGTGAGAAAGAATTTTGTAACGGTGTGTGAATTAGGTGATGAGAGGGGTAAAGAAATTGATGAATTAGATGAGGAAATGGAAAGGATGCAGGAAAAGTGGAAAAGGTGGGCGAGTGAGTTGGAAGGTATGAGAGAAAGAGTGGATGATTTGGAAAAATTTATTTTAGAGAAGAAGGAAGAGGATAAGAAAATGGAGGTTATGTTGAAAAAGGGGGTTAAATTGTGTAGTGAGGGGAGTGAAAGTGTATATTATGAACAGAAGGTGAATGAGCTGGAAAGAAGAGTGGAATGGATGGAAAAGGATAAAAGAAAAAGAAATATAATGATTAGGGGTATGAATGCAGGTTTAAGTGAAGGAAGAAGAGAGGTGGGGAGACTGGCTGAAAGGATAGGGGTGAAAATTAATATTAGGCAGATGAAAGCGATGAGTATGGATGCGAATGGAATTCCGAGGATGTGGTTAGTAGAACTGGGAAGTGAGGAGGAGAAAGAGGAGGTTATGAGGATGAAAGGAAGGTTGAAAGGATGTGTTGAGAGAATAGATGAGGATAGAACGTGGAGGGAAAGGAGAATAAGATGGTTACTGGGAGAGAAGGCATGGATCGAAAGAAGGAATGGAAGAGAAGTAAGAATGGGTAGGGAATGTGTGTGGGTGGATGGGGTAAAATGGTGCGTGAGAGAAGGTAATGGACGAGTGCTTGAGGTTGGAATAGATGATCGGGTGAATGGGGAGAAATGAAGAAGGACAGGAAGGAAGATGGAGGTTTAGGATTTAAAGGGGTGGGGCGTTAATGGGGAATCAGTCAGTATGGACAAAGGGAACTGGAAACGGAAGCCCTGGCACTGGCGAATTTTGAGTGGATGAGTGTGATGAGAATAGGTTAAGTTGCGTGTTGATTAAGTTGTTGATGTGGAATAAGAGCGACGTTATAGGTTAAGAAGTTTTGTACATATAGAATAAGTTGATTTGTAAATGTATCTGGGAGTCTCGAACCCTGCCTATTGCAGGGAGAGTAAATAAACACAAAATACTGAATAAATTATTGATTTTTGTATTTAAATAATTGAATTCTCGGAAAATTTTCTAATAAAAATTGATTAAAAAATGAATTTCACTTAAAAGTTTAAATTATAATTGAATATTAAAAACATTATAGCGTGAATTTTCAGAAATACATAATTAGATTTTGAAAAGGGTTAAAATTAAAATCTTTGAAAATTTTGTCTGGAAATCAGGGAAAAACAAAATTAACCTACTTGAACAAAAATATCTATTTTATTATAAAGAAAGTTAAAAATCAATATTGTATATACCAGTTTCTTTAATCAAATGACAAATTAAAATTATTTTTTGATGGATCAAAAAAATTATTTTTTTAAATTTGAGTAAAATTTTTAAATTATTGAATATTGAAAAGCAAAATATGGTAAATTCAAGGACAAAAGTTCAAAATCCAGGACATTTAAGGACATTTCAGGACATTTCCAGGAATTCCAGGACTTCAAGGACCAGTATTGTTTTGCTACAAAAGCTTTGGCTGAGAAAGCTCAATTGGGATGATGATCTCCCTACGGACTTAACGCATGAATGGAACGAATTTTGTTCCAAACTTTCATTCTTATCGCAAATTTCAATTCCAAGACGGATTGACCGAGGTGCTGATTTTTGTCAAATTAAAATTCATGGTTTTTCGGATGCATTCAGTGTCGCTTATGCTGCATCCGTTTATTCAAGAATTATTTCACCCTCTGGATCTATCTCAGTTAAACTTCTCATGGCAAAAACAAAGGTTCCTCCATTAAAAACCGTTAGTATCCCTCGATTAGAGCTGTGTGCTTCCACGCTTTTGGCTAAACTCGTAAGTTATGTAATTGATTCTTTGCATTTGAAGGATATTCCGGTATTTTGTTGGACGGATTCATCTGTGGTTCTTGGTTGGTTACAGCAGCAACCAGTAACCTGGACAGTATTTGTGGCCAACCGGGTATCCGCGATTCAAACCACATTGCCTACCGCGATTTGGAATCATGTTCAGTCAAAGGACAACCCTGCAGATTGTGCCTCTCGCGGTATGTCAGCTGATAAGTTAGCCTCATTCTCATTGTGGTGGAATGGGCCAGAATGGCTTTCTGATCATTCGGACACTTGGCCACAACGTAATTTCAAAATTATTGACCCTGTACTCGAGAAACGTATATCTTCGCATTCGACTGAAATTAAGGATAGAGAAGACTGGCATTCGTCCTTTTTAAAACTTTATTCGTCATGGGCTCGTCTATTACGTATTACTGCGTATGCATTACGAGCAATTCAGCATTTTAAAACTAGAGCCGTCTTTTCCAAAGCATTAACCGCAAATGAAATTTCAGATTCCGCCGTTTTTTGGATTCGATACATCCAAAATACCTTTTTTTTCTCGTGAGATCGAAGCTTTAAAATCAAACAAAGTTATGCCGAATGATTCTGCATTGAAAAGATTAAATCCTTTTCTCGATGAGAAGGGAATTATCCGCCTTGGTGGCCGGTTACGCCAATCCAAATTATCTATTTATCAACGACCTCCTGCCATTTTACCGAAATGTCAAATGGCACGTCTTATTTTGGAACAGTTTCACATCAATTTACTGCATGCCGGTGTACAGGCAACATTGAGTTTGTCTCGCACTCAGTATTGGATCATTGGTGGTCGAAATTTAACAAAGTTTGTCGTAAATCGCTGCATAACTTGCGTTCGTGAAAAATCTAGACCAGAAACTCAAATTATGGGTGAACTTCCGTCGGCTAGAGTCACACCATCCCGTCTATTCGTATGCTTTCCCAAATTGTTCGAACGCTTCAAAAGGATGTAGATTTAAAAAACTATTTTGCTTCGGATGGTACTACATGGCACTTCATGCCACCAGTCGCTCCCAAGTTCGGAGGATTGTGGGAGGCTGGTGTTAAAAGTGTGAAGGGTCATCTACGAAAATTATTATCAAACTCGACACCTACCGCTGAAGAGTTTAACACTCTTTTATGTCAAATTGAGAGTTGCTTGAACTCTCGTCCGCTTTGTGCAATCGACGATGACCCCGAAAACTGCGAGGCTCTTACACCAGGTCATTTTTTGGTAGGCACTGCACTAAAAATTGTACCGACTCCGTCTGTTATTGATGTACCAGAAAACCGTTTAACGCGATGGCAATTCTTTCAAAAAATTTTAGAGCATTTTTGGCGATCATGGTCCCGAAATTATTTACAAACATTGCAACAGCGTACTAAATGGTTTTCTGCTCGACCGAATGTTAATATTGGAGATATTGTATTATTAAAAAATGCAAATAGTCCACCCGCAAAATGGAATTTGGCTCGCGTTACAAATTGTGTTTTTGGAAGGGATGGAATAGTCCGTGTTGTTCATGTAAAGACTGCGAATTCCGAGTATGTCCGCCCTATTTCACAGATTGTACTTTTGCCTGCCTCTATTGAATCTAACACATTGTAAAATAAATTAATTTTAATTGTATTGTAAATTATTTAATGTTCATCGTTTATTTTTTTTGCGATCTTTGTACTGATCGCAAGGTGGCCGGTATGTTTAATTGTGATAAAGCAATTATTTGAATTTAAATGTTTTCCCACCAATTTCATTTCCAATTGTCTGCGCAGCGTCTTGGGACCGTAGCGCCACCTTTTTTTTACTGAGATGAGTGTGTGGACGAAAAGATTATAATTGAAAAGATCTCGCAAAGAGAACACGTTTTGTGACATAAAATGTAATATTAATAATTTTGTATTAAATGTTTTTAAAATTAAAGAAAGTTTTGAGTATAAATGAAAAGAAAATAAAATTCTATCTCCTTTTACCGCAAAAGTAAACATTACAGGACAAAATGATACACAAAGTCGCTTATGTATCTTCTTACTCGGTAAAGGAGCCTGAGAGTGAGCTGACTTTACAGACTAAAATAAGCGACTGTCTTTCGACTGTCTTTATGTATCTTTTTCCTCTGTAAAATGGTCTGACAGTGAGTCGAGTTTACAGAATAAGAAAAGCGATAATTTTACTACACAGGCTTAGTTCTTTTACATTATGTCGCTTATGTATCTTTTTCCTCAGGACGGCACCGCTCAGCTCGAGTAAGTTTACCGAGGAATAAACATAAGCGACTTTGTGCTTTTATTCGTCTGTATTTATCACTACTATTTATCACTTTATGAACTTTCATACGAACGAATTTACACCGTGACGTAAAGTAAGCCAGAGAGCTAGAGTGGGGAGGTTCAAACTTTTGGCCAGAGCCAGCGCAGCGGCGCGACTAATACCTTAACCGAACTGTCATTTGACCGAACGGCATTTATCCGAAATGTATTTATTAGAGGAGAGTGGGGAGTTTTGCAACACCTTAATATTTGTCAAATGGCAATTATTGTTAACTTCGTTTTTCGTTAAAATCTAACTTTTGTACTAGTACTCGACACCCCAACAAGCATTTATAGTGCTTTTCCAGATAGTGATTTAAAATGTGTTTCAAAAAGTTTTTTTGACACTTTGCGTCTCGGACATTAACACAAAGCTTTTGAAGGTAATCAAAAAGAATAGTTTACAAAAAGAATCAGGAGTTAATAACTTTTCGAAATACTAAATGCAATTTTGCATAAAAATTCGATGCTTAGATAATTATATGGCTGTTTTGAAAATGTAGTAAGTGGGGAGTTCACATCAGTTTTAACCCTTAAAGCGCACACTTACGAATCCACCCTTAAACCGCACACTGGGTGTGCGACACCCGGGGACTTAAAAGTGTGTTCTCCAAGCTGGAATAGGATATTATCTTTTGGAAAAATTATCTTATGTAGCTCAGTACATATATTTTGAAGGAAAATGGATTTCATAATGATTTATTTAATCTTAATAATTAAAAAAGAGTTTTTTAAGGTACTACTACACTTAAGAATTTAAAAAAATTTTATTTCTTTTTATTGTATTTTTTAACTCCTTATGACTTTAGAAAACACATCCTAAAGTATTTATAACCAATTGTAAAAAATAAAAGTAAATTTTTCAAAAAATACTCAATTTTCGCCGGTAGGTGGCGGCTTTTGAGCACATGTTTGTGCGTGTCTCGGCTTTTTTATATAGTTTAACCGATTCATAAGTTCGGTTTAATTCTTTGGTGGAGTGTCTTCATATTGTGGTGCTCCCCTGATTTTATATTTTGTGACTTTTTCACTTAAATCCTGCATTATTTATTGTAAACTTGGGTCTACATATCCTAACCTTATTTAGGACATTCGTTCATTGACAAGGTTTTCTTTCATTAAAGTGAGTTTGCAATTTGCAATTCTTTTTTGTGAACTTCTCATTTTTACTAATTGGTACTTTCTAGTAAATTAATAATGGCATCTGCAGTAAATATTCAGAAGTGTACAAAGTGTGGTAAAGATATTGCACGTGCTATTCCTACGTTTTGTTCTAAATGTAAACTTCCTTACCATCGGAGCTGTGCAATACAGACCTCTACTTTGCCTGACGGATCGTTTGTTAATTGCTGTAAGCCGAGGTCATTGTCCCCGTCAGCTGACTCACAATTCTCAAATTTTGTTGTCAATTTGGATACTATTGTGGACGCCTTAAATCAGCTGACGTTAACAATATCTCGTAATGTCTCTACAATGAATGAGAATTTTAAGGAAGTAAATGTCAAATTGGATGAGACACTTTCCAGAGTAATAAATATGGAGGGTAGAGTGGTTGATTTGACGAATCGTCTTGCTTTGGTTGAGGAAAGAATTGACAAGATTGAGGCGGGATGTTCAATGTTGGACAATCCAACAGTCGAGATTAATGCCTGTATTAATAAAATAGTGGATCGGTCAGAAAGAAAGTGTAACTTAGTTCTATTTAATCTTCCTGAAGATAAAACACATAACACAGACTCTAACACCTTGAAAGCAGTTGTCAGCAACAAATTTAAAAAGTTTACTAAATCAGCTGATCTTGATGGAATTCGAACATTCAGAATTGGTGCTAGTGCGCAGGTCTCTCAAAAGCCACGCCCGGTGAAAATCGTATGTGCGACGGAGGAGAGGGCACAGGCGATTTTGCGATCGTTCGTGGCTGCTGAAAGAGACTCTGTAAATTCATCGGACTTGGAGAATCTATGGTTGTCGAATGACAAAACGAAGATGCAGAGGGACGAGATTAGGAGAGTGAAGGAGCAGTTAGCCGTGCGTCGACGAGAGGGAGAAGCAAACATTTCTTTGGTTTTTCGTCGTGGAGTCCCCACAATTATTAAAATCCCTCCCCGTAAACGTACTTCTACTCTCACACTTCAGATAGGCGGGTAAACAGTTGGCCAATCCAACTCCAGCACCTGGTTTTAGATTAATTCTTCTGTCATCATTCTCTTCAGTGTTTAAATGTATTCAGCAAACTTTTTGTGTATGGTTTTTTTTGAGTTAAACTCCTTTAGAGTATTGTGATTTATTTCTCAAAATGACATTTTGTTAAGCAAAAAATGTGTATAATACCCTCCTCATTTTTATGTTACTCTTTGAATTTCTATATATTCTTACAGTTTCTAGACCGTTTTAAACATCTTATTTCATTCAGAATTTTTAATTTTATTTTTCATATAATTTTTACTAATTGTTTAAAATTAATTCGGATAGAGATACAAATTTGTCATTTATTAATATTATTTTGATATTCTTCTATTAAACTGTAAGATTCACTACAATAACTAACTTTCTAATGGACTCAGTGGAAAAACAAAAATGTCTAATTATATTACTTTATTTTCACTATTACACTACAACGGTGTTTACATATATACCGAACTTAAACTTTTGAAGCGCCAACCTTCATATTGTATCTGTTTTTATATGTTACAAATAATGTAACTCTTAGAATTAGGGAGTACGTAATGTACGAAAGGGCATGTCCCGTTATGTTATTAAATAAATAAATTAATTAATTAATTAATTAATTAATGTAAAAAGTCATTGACAAATTAAGTAAGTCTTTAAGGGGATGGTGGGGTCCAGCTTTTTGTTACGACCAGTAGAAACATTGGTGCTAATGTATGTAATAGTGTCTGACATAAAAAAAGTGGAGGGGTTTCAATTTGCAAAAGAATTTTAGGTAATTTATGGATGGCCTCTAACGATACATATAAGGTTTAAACGCGATTTTCTCAAAATAACGTTTTCTCAAATTGCGGACAGTTTATCTCTGAATCTACTAAACCGATTTTAATAAATAATAACTCGTTTTGTTTGTTAGCATGTCCTGTGTGAGAATTAACCAGAAAATGGTCAAAAAATTTTTAAAAAACATTTTTGCAGACTAGAAAAATACTGAAAAACATAGTGTATTTTAACAAAAATTATTGAAACATCTGCTATTTTTTTATTTTAGTCCATTTTTTATTAATTTTG